CCTTATTTTCAATAAGCAATCCTGAAAAATATTTGGGGGTGCTCAACTTTTTTCCAGGTGTATATTATCAGTCTTATTGCTATGCATTCAGACGTTCCTGTAATTTAAGAAAGTCGTCGTACATTTAGTGTAGACTGAAGTTTTTCCCAATTCTGTAAACTACACAAGCGACACTACATCTCCCACTATCAGAGTGCTTCTCTACATTTTACAAACCATTGGCCATGTACACTGCTGGTCTCAGCATGAGACCAGGAGGCTCATGACAAACGCAGGTCTCTGAAATTGTTTTCTTTTTTCTTTTTTTGAAGGAAACTATGTTACCGTCAAACGAACATTTTTATTGGTGATTACAAAATTATTCAGAGATTGGATAGCATTCATCTCATCCCTCCTAGACACCTTTTATGATTGTAACTTAAGGGAAACTCTGGAGTAATGTGTTATGACCTCACCATTTTTCTATTACTAAAATGAACTTTATTAATTTTCGTAAATCTTAACAATTTTGTTAATGTTTAAGATATAAAAACTAAAACTCTACCATTATGTTATACGGTTTGATTAAATCTAACTTAACTAAAATAAGCATGGTATAGACAAGTCAGACATCTTTATCTCTCTCTGGAGATAAAGCTAATCACGTTAGTGAATGTCCGACATGTTTTTCTTATGAAAATTTAAATGAAAGCTCTTTCTAAACTGATATCATATAACTTTTCTCATAGACTACCTTTGTCGTGATACCACAGAACTTACAAGTATACTACCATGTTGAAATCGTCCCCTATGGAATTCACGGTACTTACTGTTCCAATGATAGAGTGATATAACATCACAGTATTTAACACATTCTCCATTCTTTATATCGTACAACAGCCTGATAGTGTTAATTATACCTCGTCAAAAACGTCAATATATCACATTTTTCGTTCAGCACTAAAGTCACTGAAGATTATGAAATATAAATGAATGATAATGCATCATATTATTAATGTTGGTATTACTACAGTGAATATCTGATTTCTATAAATACTATAACATTTACAAATACTCAATATCTATGTGAGAAGAATCTAATTTTTACTAATTTTTGTATGAAAGTTAATTTAATCTTGGCAGTTGAGTATCTTATAATTCGTACATGTTTCAGTTTGTGTTATCCCTAAATATTAAAGAGTATCAAGCTGTCAGCAGAATGAGAATGTCATAAAAATACATTTAGCTTTTTGTATCATTATTTAAAGTGGAAGAATAGATAAATTATTCTTTTACAGAATAAAGTATATTCTGTAATGATAACATAAACATGATGGATTTATAAAATGTGAAATAATCGCTTTTCGTTGTAGAACATATCTTTTATGTAAGAAACAACAAAATTGAAATATTTTGCCAACACATTTTATAGATTTTGTTCTTAAAAGTTTCAAAAGTAGAATGTATGCCCATTATTTGTGATAAATCGTATATAAATTAGAATTTTTCTAACTTGAAGTTTTGTTAATAAATGTTTCAATATGTGTGATACTTTATAATGCTATGATTTTAATTACATATACTGATGATAGCATATTAGGCTATGATGAAATACGTCAGTTTTAATCGATAGGGGAGGGTTAATGTGAGGGTCAAACTATTTAATGTTCAGTACAATTGGGAAGATTCATATTAGTTATGTATTTATGTTATGAAATTTATAAGTGAGGAAACTTTTAATGATCATATTAGCTCGAATCACTTTGGAGAATGTCATTTATGTTTCGTTTGCAGTGATTTATTCTATTTGACTAATAATATGCTAAAATAAGTTTCTACCATGGGTATTGTTACATTGGGCAGTAGATCAGTATTTTA